TATAGTTGAAAGAAGATTCGTCAATGACTCCAACAGGAAAGTTGGTGTAGCTGGTGGTATATTAACAAAGACGCCGATACAAAAGTTTTTAAGGTTGATAGTTCATACTTGAATTATCTTTTAACGAAAAAATAGATACATGAAATTAACAATCACATTAAACAAAGAAATCACAAATAAAGAACATTAATCTGCAAAGAAAATAAAAGTTGAACTTGCTAAGATTAAACTGTTTAACATTGAAGAATACGTCACATATAGAAATATTCAAATGTTTGAAATATTCACACAGGAGGGGGTAATTCATATAATTATGACATATTGCCGTAGACATTGCAACAATTAAATTTGTTGAGACTATTTAGTTTATATGAACTAATTATGGTTAAAGACGAAACAGTAGTTACTTAGCAGATGCCAATTAAGAGATTATTCGGAAATGTATCGATCTGGTAATAGAAATTTGATTTGCATTGATATTACTTTTTCGAAAACAGAATTGTAAAAAACATACATTTCAAACGTTGCATAAAATATTTCAATTGCTAACTTTAAACACTTCAAAATCATTCAAAAGTAGTTTATTACTTAAACTTTAATGTAAACTGATATACTTTCCTGTCTTGAAGGATAGAGTGGATGAATTATAAAGGTGAACAAGTTCGTAGACATCCGTTTGTAATTTTGTACTTTAATTCAGTTCATTAGGCGAAGACCTTCCGTGTTTAGTAAAATTGACAAATACGTTTAAATGTTATTACACAGTTATTCAATGCGATGTGTTTGTGTATTTTTATTTCAAATTAAGGAAACAGACGGATAGGAAATAGAAAACGTGTATCGAAATCAAAAGAGACGAAACCATATTTTAATCAATGATAATTTCAGCATTGATTAATGTAAAAGTCGTTTGTTTACCGTGAAAAGAGAATGGAATAAATCACGACTATATCATGGAGACCAAAACAATGTGAACAACGAATTGACACAAGTTATCTCCCCATACAGTACTAATAAAGATACTTAAATATTAAGAACGGGAACATGATATTCTAGTTAACTGATTTTATTAACTGAACTGGTTTCCTGTCGTATAATATACTGTTACAGTGAATGAACGACTTATTCACGCATTTACAATCTCTATTTGCATTTTCGTCTGTTGTATGTGTACAGAAAAAAAACTGTGTTCGAACACTTATTTAAAAAAAACAATATTAAAAAAGTAAAGGCAGAACATTTGGCATTAACAAATCTTTGGTTCTTTTTGTAGGAAGATTATTAGCAGGTTACAAGGTTAAATGGAATGTCGTATAAATCTTTATATATGTTACGTCTACTATAGCAATGACCAAAGACAGTACATAACGTTCATTGTTGTTGTTTTTCCATGGTTAAGAATATATCTTTAGAATACAATTGTGTTTAGCATTCAGTAAGCGTAAATAAAAGTCTAGTAAGAAGACATTGTGCACGACCTAAAGGGGAGTTCAGTATGTTCACAACTGAGGCAATTCTCGTAAGAGACTCAGTCTTACACTATAGTTGTTACAGAAAAAAATGTTTTTGTGCCATTCATTAATTGTAGATAATGTAAAAACAGTTAAAACGTTTATCTTTCACCATCTGTTTTAATAGGATCATTTTAAGCGATTTTGTGAAAACAGGACTTAAACTTAAATTTTTCTAAGGTGAAATTGTGTGTTATCTCATGTCCATATCGCTTATATAACTTTATTTGATACGACTTTTTTCACCTTTTAATTTTTAAAAGAATTTTATGAAGAAATGACATACATTATCAATATCAAACAAGGATACAGTCACAATCTTTCAAAAAAGCAGCGATAAAGGTTAAATACTTAGCTGAAATGAAAGATCCGTTAGCGAGCCTTTACATTTTTATAACTTTGGATATGTAGTCTTTAGCACAAAAAAAGGTACAAAACAAAAGACGAAAAAAAGCGTCTATTTATAGATTTAAACAGAATAAAATTAACGGAGATCTTTTATCGTTTTACATTCATTTTTCAAAAAGCATAATAACAAACCAATCGTTCACCATTGCGACGTTGTTTCCATGCCAGATGAAAAGCCACACTCCCCTCCGTTCCCATAATGTCTATATGTTCTCCATCGTACCACGGACAAGTATGATCGACTACATGATCTCTCTTAACATAACACTTTCTTCAAAAATTGAAAACCAATTCCATGACCTAAGACATACACAATCTTACTTTGTGAAAAAAACACACTGATTTCCATACCAAATACACCAGAGACTATGTCATTAAACGTTGGACTTTTAGATCGACAACATATTTGTTGAGTTTAATGAATTGATATTTAAGCTGCATAATTTGAACAAAAAAAAATATAATTTGTATTTTAACTTTGTAGAAATTGTAATTCGTCCAAAAAGCTTTGTACAAATTGTAATTCGTCCAAAAATGTGTTTGTACAAATTACAATTTGTACAAAATTTGACTAGAATTCAATTATTGCTTGTACAATAATTTATTATTTGGATTTGGTTAAAAAAAAAGCGTTGATACACACTATAAAGATATAAGTTAAAGTTGGGTTAGTTTTCATCATACTTTTCTTATCAATTTTCCAGAATTCATAATCATTCTAGATTCAAATAATTCCTAGTTTAAATGTAAAACGCAAATGTTGTTGTGCAATTCCCGAACCGATAATTCTCTCACATTCTCAAACAAATAATAAAGAACTATTTTTGTATTTTGTAAATAAGGTTTACTGTGTGGTCATTAAATATAAATGTTATAGTGTGTATCAATCCTTTTAAACAAAATCCATATTATAAATTATTGTACAAGTTATAAATGAATTCTAGTCAAATTTTGTCCCTATTTTAACATTTTAAGCGAGTGTCGATTCGTATGTCAGCTAATGCATGCATAGTAGGAGACGCTTACCCTGTCGACGCACCCGGTCTCGCTCGTATTAGAGTTCATACGACTTCCTCAGTTTTTGTTATTACATCTTGATTGGTATCTTCTTATGGATTTGTGATATTTGAACATCGGTAAAATTACTGTTGTCTCTTATTTGTCAAGTTTCTTATAAAGTGTCCTCAATTGTACATGTATTAACTTTCTACATGCAAATTTTCAACCAATTTTTAAAGTTGTGTAAGAGACACATGACGTTCCGGAAGTCTCCTTCTACTAAAATATTTTGTTTTTTGACCATATGAAATATCTGTGTCAAACTTGTCAAAGATGACTATGGACATGTTCCAACTGTCGAAACCATAAGCTTGTCTTCTTTTTCTCGATTGTGACATCGTAAATTAGACTTATCACTGAATTTGTTCTCACCGTGAGCAACACAACGGGTACCATATGTTCATATATGTATATAGCTCACGAAATTAACCCCGGTTTTGGGGCGGATTTGTGTCGCTCAGTGTTATATTTTCTACGTTAATGCAGTGTTGGTGTTTTCTGATTGTCTTTTTGATGTTTTTTTTTGTTTAAGTACATGTATGCAGTTGCCAGGTCCTGTTTGGGTTAGTAATTTTCTATGTTTTTTTTCCGCCTTCAGTTTGCTGTTTCATAAGAAAAAAACGTCTTTTTAAAATTTTAGACATAGTTTTGCATTATGCAAGCTCATGGTTTTTTTTGGACTTTTCAAGACGTGATCTCTCTCTTAATCCGTGATTCATCTTTACTTGAGGAAAAATGGTTTGCTTTTTACCAAATATTTTATTCTGATATAGTTTTCAGTAAAATCGAGTATTGTTAGGTCGGTAAGTTGTGTGTTTTCTCATTTTAATAGCCGATGTTTTGTTAATTGTGTAGATCTGAAGAGTCAATGTTTACCACATTTTACAGTTTCTGTAAATGCTATGTGGTTTACCCACTGTCCCACGTAAGGCTGAACGACTTCTTACATTGTTAAGCGTGCAGCATCTACTATGCATCGGTCATAAACAACGAGCCTGTGCATGAAATCATTAGGTGTTTTGTTCGTCCACGTCTGTCATAAAGTTTTTTGTTAAACGTGTTTAACATTATGTGATGTACATGCTGTGCTGTTTAACCACTTGCACCGGTAAGGTGAAAGGTCGAACATTTATGCTTATGACAGATACATACAGAATTTGGCAGACTAAACATGTTTTTAATCAACGATCATGTGCATATAGTGACGTAATTGTTGTTTCATCACGGCTATTATCAAGATGTTTTGTTTAATAAATTAAAAAAAAAGAATATATATTATCAATTGCATGCGTCCGTTCTATTTAATGTTATGTTATTAAAGGATTTATTGTCTTTTTTAACTCCTTTTACTGTTCTTTGACCTTAACGTAGTTCATAAGAAATTAAGAACACTGCTATTTTGATGTATGTGCCAATTGCATCTGTTCCACTACATATTTCATGTTTTTTGTCATATTTATAAAATATAAAACATTTTCAACCAAGAGGTGGACTAGAAGTATTTTTCTTTTATTAACATTATGTGTTCTTGGGAAATTAGTTCAAATATGCTTTCCTTTGTTAATAATGCAATTATTCTCTTTATACCTTAAGTTAATACGATTTTGTATTAACTATCATTTACTATCGATCATCAGCGTGACTGTATAGATCTAATTTCTTGATTATATTGATTGATTAATATTTAATGACACTTTCAGCACTATTGTGCTATTTTGTGGCGGTCAGATTTTATTGATCGAGGAAGCCAGAGTGCCCGGAGAGACCCATCGAACTTCGGTAGAAAAACTGACAATCCTAGTCAATTAAGATTGGTGTTTACCTGCCACGTGCTGCATTCGAAGGATCTAATTGAATAGTAGTTTAGAGACCTACTTGTTATTTAAGCTCACACATGATAGGGTATTTAGGAAAAAAACTGTAATTGGAAAAAAGTCGTCACAACAATTGTTTAAGTATGTGATACAATGGATAAGCGTTGGAACGTTACAAAGACCGGGATCTTGGTATTGTTTTAACATATTTATTGTTATTCATTGTATTTCATTCATATAAAAGGTCACAGAGCTTATTTTAACACATTACACACTGTTTTATGAATTATACAGAGAAAAATCATCATGTGAAGGTAAACTAAATGATAAAATCTGGAAATAAAATATGAGAAGCTAGATGTCATAACATACAAGGAAAATAGGGTTTCTGTACGTCTTTACCCTATATAACATAAAGCAGACAATTTTTCGGTAAATTCCTTTACAAATGATATAATTTCTAATTAAACTTCCGTTAAATTGATACGTGAAAAAAATTTAAATCAAAAACATATATTTGTAATTATAAGATACAATATCATCAATGTATTTTTTTTTAACATTCGTGTCAGCAGATTGCATTCCGGCATCAAACTTTGCTGAATTGATTGCAAATTTAGACCTATTGGTTTCTGTTATTTTACAATCTAAAAAGTCAATAGACTCCAAAGTACCTCACATTACACCACATTGTCACTTTTGGATGCTACAATGGTCATAATTGCTATGTGTTGCCCTCGGAATTATGTTCTTGGAGTGGTCGTACGTTGGGTCAGTGTCTTCTTCCTGTGTTATCTGCCATTGATCATAAGCTTTCGCACTTTCATCTTTTTCAACATTATCTAACTGTACATAGTCCGCATTATCAAGGCTATTATCCAATTTGTGTGTGTCAGTGATTGGTTTTGCTATACAATAATCACTTGACATAGCAGAGTTTAGAGTATCGATTTCACATTTTTTATCAATTGCGATATTTGAGGTCAAAGTGAACACTTCCATCTTGACCCCTTCAATTTCTGATGCCTTTTGGTTCGGGTTTTTGGTTGGAATTTTTCTATTGCTTACCTCGTTTAATTTATCATAAACACCAGATGTTGCCCTAACATATGTTGATTCCTCATCTCCAATCCCGTCATTATTTACGATATTATCAGATACAGGATTTGCTGAACAATAATCTCCATTTGATATATCAATGTCATTGTAATGACCTTCAAGAATATTTTCTGATTCATACTGATTCAATTTAGACGTACTTTCTCCTTTACTCAATGTCCGCGATATGGGTTGGTTTCTTCGATGTATCCTACAATGAAGACAAAAATAGATAAAAAGAAACAATTAGAGGGACATGAGTCGAAAATGCCAGAATTCCGAATACATATATATTCTACCCAAAAACGTTCAGTCGGTAAAATCCTATATCTTAACTTTCCTGAAGAAGAACATTTAACAAAATTGAGCATTTTACACGCAAAATAGTGTTTAAACGTTGTGTTTCCATTGGTAAGGTAATATTTTCAGTTTGGATTCGTCAACTACATGTATTGGTAATACAATATATAAACGCGTGCTATTAGTTCCTGTGTGCTAGACATGTGTTACTGGAATAATCGTCATCATGTGTGATCAAAACCAGATGTTTGTAGTCAAAAATTAAAACAATAAATAAAATGTTTAATGGTATCAATACACAAGGGTTTTTAAAACTGACGTTAACTTGCTTGCGAGAGTTGCAACCTTGGTTTTGTATTATGAAATAACTATGAACTGAAAGTACGGACTATGTCAGTGTTTTATGCTCTCAAACGTTGCATATATTTTTATAAATTTCAAACTTTTACTTTTAGAATTTAAAAAGTATTTCTTGTGAAACGTGTTGTGCGTACATAAATCAGTATCCTATTGATGTTCTTTTTGCTGGTTTTTAAATAACTTATTGATAAAAACAGGCGTGGACTCCTGAACTAATCAGATTCACCAAAAAACTTACTTTCTGGAAATGAGTACCAGTATCACAGCTATTATCAGCATTACAGCAGTTATTGACACAGTAACTCCAATAATTAGGCCTGAAATTGAAAAAGAAATCTTCTTTGCGCTTTATGCTTATAGTATTTACTAATGTACATATGATGTAAAGTTATCACCTTCTGGTCGTGTACTTTCAAAAATAAGATTACTAATAATGAGTTGCGTCTGTGATATATACATATAATTTGTTCAAAGAACTCGTTAGATCGCTATCACGTGCAACCCTTCCGTTCTAAGTATGTATCTAAAATCTTAACTGAATATTCTAACACAAATGTGTGAGTTGTGATTAAGAATAGTATTATAACAATAAACAAAACAAAATTGACCACTATATGACGGCGTATCCAGAAATCACACCAGATCATCGTTTTTGCAATGATTGCCGAAGGTTAAAAAAAAAACAGCGTAACTTTCACTATATTGAAGACAAGTCATTCTGGTCAGGTTAAAACATTTGCTTAATTCATTTAAAATTGTTTCCAAATTATGTGTAGTCTTAATTTTTTACATACGGTATTCTATACCAAAGCTGCTTTCTTCTGTGTCAGTCATAACAGTATCTACAATAAACAACTATCGACACCTGTTTGCCATCAAACATAACTTTAACATTTCGTTAAAAAACTGTTATGTTTATTACTTTGTAAACTGTAATCGAAATTTGAGTTTTAAATGGTGCATATATGTTGCTGGTTCAATTCAAATAGTTTTCATGGGAGAGCATACATTCAGTCAAATTAATTTATTTCGAAAACTTATGTACAGATGTATTTGAGCAGGAACTCTGGAACCTTCTATTGAACCAGAGTTTACCCACGTTTTTTTTGTAGAATATCGATGCTTAGTCGTTTATTTACAGAGTTTTCATTTGTTTAGCATGGTTCGTCTTCCAGACTTTATACTTAAGGTTATTATATTGCTTGTATGTCATTGACCCATATCTTGTTCGCTATTAGTATCCTGCTATTTGAAATATTTTGTCACATGTTGGCCATCTACAGCATGTTCAATAGTATTTAGACGTCAAGTTTTGTATCAATCTGACTGCCTAAATTTAACAATCTACACTTGTACATTTTGGTATTTAGCCATTCACACTCAGTTTGATATTTAGCCTCCTGTACTGCCGTCATACCTATCCCAAACGATATCCGTTTAACAATTAATTTTATGCAAACATGTTATCTGAAACAGTTGTAATCAGGTGTTATTATCTTTGACTTACTGGTATTATTGATAAGTATCGTAGTTGATATACTAGTTGACTCATCCAGAATATCTGTAAAGACATATTTTTTTCGTGATTATGATAAAAAAAAATTCTAAAGTTTATTCGTTGATACAAACCAGTAGTGTAAACCGCCTGTTTTAGTGCGTTCCATCTAAAAATAATTTACGCAATTAAAGTTGAAGGTTGCTAATATATGAAGTATTAGAGAATTTATAAGAAGTAGGGGATTCGATTATACGTCTTGACAATAAACCAAGGATATTACAAAAAAATAATTTCATAGTCTTTTTTATTTCTCAGTAGTTTGAAGTGATTGCACCCACACAGTTAACATCTATATAAAGACATCCGACAAGTTAACAAAAGTTACATATAACTTAACAATTTATACATCTGTTACCGGTAAATTTTGCAGTTGTTTAGAGAGTATATTCAATCATAGATATTATGCATTGTGTATACGATTAAGGAAGTTGCTGACTATTTATACAGCAAAACTTAAGTATTTGAACGTAACGAATCAATTGTGTTTTGGTCTTGGATGTATAAATATGTTAAAATCAACTCCCCGATAGCCGTGATCGTATAGTCGTTGATTACGAAAGTCATAAAGGTAATTATCAATGATAAGGAGTTTGAACCTTATACCTGGAATGATTTTTTTTTTCATTTTATCTTCTCGTTGTAACAGTTTTGTCGTTCTATATTTTCGTATTGCTTTATAATTATACCGCTTTCTTTTCGTAGTTATATTGTGTTGAATTGAAGTTTGATTTAAACATGTCAAATGTCGAAAATGTATATGCCATGGGATAACAAAATCACCACCAACAAAAACAAATCGAAGAAATAAAAACAATAAAAAAAAAATAACCATTGCACATATTGGATATAAATGAAAAACATTCATTGTCAATAAGACTGCTGCATAATGTGTGTGCATATGTATTGACAAGAGTCTTCATTAGGTGCTTCAAGAACATGAATTATAAGTCATTGTAAATTAACAATCGTAGTCGAGTTGTATCATTAGAAGACTATTGTGATTACTGATGAAATCGCTTGTAAGCGTGAACCCCGAATGTGTTGTACGTTTTTGAGAGGTTAACAGTTTGTTAGTTGAAATTTATGAAAATTTATGATAAAAGTTAATTTTGGTTGACAATGGGTTCTTGAAAAAACAGTCTGTTAGAACAATAGACTGACGTCCAAGAAGTCAGGAGGCTGTTATTCAGTGGTTGTCGTTCGTTGCTTTATATTATATTTGATTTTCGTTCATTGTTTTGTACATAAATCAGGCTGATATTTTTTTGTTTGAATTATTTTACGTTTGTCATTTTGGGACCTTCTAAGCTGACTATGCGGTATGGGTTTTGCTCATTGTTGAGCGCGGTACAGTGACCTAGTGACTTCTATGTTAGTTGGACTCTGGGGAGAGTTGTCTGTCTCATTGGCAATCATACCACATCTTCTTATTTGTATAATATATAAATAAATATTTGAATAATTTAAATTGTACTATTATTATAACTAATATATTATTAGTAGAATGTTTAACATCATATTTGTTATACATCATTTTTCGATTTTTAGTGTAAACATTATTTTACGTTGTTACATTACATACGTGTATCTGAAGTGACAAACGTTGGCATAGTACTGACATGATTTATAGTGCTTAATTCATCAACTGTAAAATAAAAGACACTCAATTTAAAACTTACAGAAAAATATCTTTTTATTTCTCTTTAAGACATTGGTTAAAATTGTTTTCTAAAGCTGCTGAAAGAATGACACAGCTGTGTATACTCATTTATACATCAGATTAAGATAACAAATAATCCAACTTTTTGTTTAATTGGAATCATACCAAATCTTCAAATTTTACTTTTTTGTAAGAGTAAAACGGCTTCTTATTTTTAAAACGGTTAGCAATTAATCAAGACGGTCAACTATTATATGCCTTGCAAATATGCGGCCTGTAGTGGCTGTCTGGATGAGTGAATTCGAGGGGAGGGGGGGGGGGGTATGATCATTGATGCTGTCTAACGACAGACTTTGTTCTTACATTTTTTGTTGAGTGGACGGGGCAATATTAATATACTTACCAGATTTACACATAAAATTATGTGTTGTTGATTGATTGCAAAAGTCTGTATTGTTGTTCTTGTATGACAGACATGAAAATTTACTTATGTGCGTTTTAATGTTGGCGAAATCCGTGTAATCTGTAAAAAAAAAAGCTTACACATTTGTATTAAGTATGAGATATTAACTAACAGAGTGCATTTTAAACATGTTTATTTCTAAAAAGAACGATAAGGGACAGTTTCTATATAATGATAACATCTGAGGTAGCACTACAGTCTTATAAAGATTTTCTAGTGATTGTTTTCTTATAACATTACATTAAACATTGTTAAAGTGTGTATTAATCTGAACATTTTTAAAAAAAATCCAAGAGTAATTTTCATGTCTCAACAGGGAGTAATCTAACGATGTGAAGAAAGGTAATTACCCAAAATATATGGTCATATCGGAGGGGCTAATCTAACAATAATTTGTTGATACTCAGTGCCCAGCTGACAGAAAAATAAAGTTTATGGTCTTATCTCATTGTGTTGCAATCACCAGTAATGTGTGTAAACATGGAGGCAAATAGAGGGAAATATCTAAAGTTAAACAAAAACTATTGAAAAAAGTGTTAAGAATTTCTTTGACAGAAGGGCATTTGTCTTTGTTTTGTGTTTGCATGGTGATATATTGTATTGTACAGTCTTAACGTATTGTGTTCTATCTAATTTAATAGTAGATATATTTATTAAATGCAAATGAAAATTATTCTTTCGTACTGAGAATGATACTAAATATTGTTTTATTCATGTGCTATTGTTTACTATTATTATGTTCATATTGCAGCTGGTATCTCCCATTATTATCCTATCTTAAACTGTCTTTACAGAGAAGAAGATATTTGATAACTACATTAAAGATGTTGATAGCCAAATACGCGTTTTAAAGTGATAAACAGTGAATACATAATACAAATTTCCAGTCTAAGAGTATAGAAGACATAAACTGTGTGGTTCTATTGATAACATGATGATGTCAAAACATCATGGGGTGTTCCCAGTTGAATTTATATTTCATATCATATATTTGCATTGCATTTATAGGGTTTTAAAAAGTATAGCTAATTATATGATGATTATTTAAAGCAATTTTGCCAAAAAAGAAATCATTAAAAAATTGAAAATAAAAAGTTAATTGTTACCCCTTTGGTTTTCTTTTGATTTGTGTAATTAAGGGGAGTATATTCTACAAAACCATGTACCATGTTCTGGATTATTTTGTTTTTGAGGAATTAGTAAAGGTAAAATAAAGTATGGCCCCACCTTTTAAAACAATATATTGTCTACCTTTTGGCATATATAAAGATGAAAGGTAAAACAAGTGTGGCTCGACCTTTGAAACAGGATATCTTCTTACTTGAGTCATAAAAAAATGTGAGACATATTTTTGTAGCTTACGTGTGGTCAATTAAAGAGATAAACACCAATTTTTGCTATAATTTGACCTGAATGTTTTTTTTATCCAAGTTGGTATGGCACTCTTTTTTGCAGTTAATGAGCGATATTTTTTTAATTTATCACACCTGCACACAGAAAACCTTTGTCAACATATAGAAAAGTGTACAATATAAGCTTTAAATGCATAAATTTTAAAAATCGATAGTCATCCTTTGGAGAAGTTAAAGAGTGTTGGTTGGAATAAGATACGTCAGACTGTAGCATAGCCTTAATAGGAATATTCAAATACATTTAAATGACAATAGTTTTGTGTATTATTACAAAGCCTGTATAACAATACTAGTTAAACACACACATTGCATTAGATAGGAATGAAGGAAATAAATTATTTCTGTTGACATATCTATGACATACTTTTAAAATGAAACTACTCCACCAAGTTTAAATTGAGTAAAGACTGATAAGATCGCTTGCGGTCGCTATTATGAATTGTGTAATGATAACATGTGTTATATACATACAATGGATAAGCGTGGATTCTTGAAAAAGAAACCATGAGCCCGGAGGGCGAATGGTTTGTTTTTCATGAATCTACGCTTATCCATTGTATCTATAACTTAAACTATTGTGTTTATTTCTTTTCAAAATTAAAGCCTTTTCTTAATTAGAAGGTATTGTAAGTGAGTTTAAATAACCATGTTATCGTGTCCAACGATGCATTGATAAATCTCAGATCACAATTAATTGGTTAACAAACAAAAAATATAACACTTCTACCTTTAAAGATCTTTATATTACCAGGCATATGAATATTATCTGTTTATAAAAAATAAGACATATTCGAAATTATTTCTAATAAAATCGAAAATGGAAATGGGGAACGTGTCAAAGAGACAACAATCCGACCAAAAAGCATATATAAAGTATATATAATAAGTATGTTATCGAAATTTTTCTAGCACTCTAGGCACATCACGATTTTCTCGCATAGGAATTGCGAACAAACCTTTGTAAAATTATGTAGTAAAACAGATGAAATCATACTATATTTATAAAACAAAAATTGACAAATAGAATGTTAAACCGGTAAAAACTCGCTATTATTACAAAAATATCCACTATAACATGCAAAATTAGAAAAAAAAACAGGATAACTTAAAAACTGGAACAACAGAGAGAATACAGGGATTCGAACCTTAACCGACAAATCCCTATCTTTGACTCATTGATTTTTACCATGCTAACCTCGCGGCTACCAACTCATACTATACGACTGCCTATTGTGTCTATATAAAGGTACAAGCCCTGTGTGTCCGATGAACCGATGTATATCAGATGTTCATTTAAATATATAAAATAGACATCTATAGTGTAACCCATTGATAGCCGAGAGGTTTCGTCGATGTGTTGATGTCAGTCACACATAACAGATTTCAAGGAAGGGTTCGATTCCCAGTGAAGGCATATAAAAATTACAAAAATCAAAGGTAAGTTTTTAAATTAATTCCTTTAGTGAACAGAAATCAGTAAATTAGCCAATTCAAACTTAAAGAAATTAGGTACACAAAGGAAACAATTGAATATAATTTGGTGAGTCAATTTCAGCGGCAGATTTAGGAAGCGTTGATTCTTGAAAAAGAATCCACGGTAAATGAATAGGCTGACGTCACCACAATGGTTTAATCTCAAATAATCATTTAACAAGTAAGTGATAATTTAGCTCTACCATAGATTAAACATGTTTTTTTATTATATTCTGCCAGGGGTATCACTTAAAATCATGCACACTCTTCAAGTTGAAAGCACCTAATACATTAATGTTTGGCTTTGTACATTTTTTTATAACATCATTTGGTACACATTGTTAAAATTTTAACTACATTTTGAGTACATTGAACCCGTCGTTTATGAATGTATATCATAAATGAATGACATTATCGATTTGATATCGATCGTTGAGTTGTGAGGAAAATATGAAGATATAACTAAAAATGATTTAAGAATATATAGTTTTGAGTGCAAGTCAAAGTGGTTATTGAAAACATTTCAATGACTTTATTCTTTAAGTTTTTGTTTGTACTTCGTTTAGAGATTTGAGCCATTTGATTTATATTAAGGAGTTGTTTTGGTGTCTCCTTCAGTCAATATAGTTTTCTACCTTCTTATATTGAAATGAGGATTCTAAATTTGGAAATTTCTGGTTTTTCTGCTACAGTCCGTGTAACGTAAAAGTTAACAATACGAACGATGCCCGAATCATGTACGGACGATGCCCGAACGATGTACGTACGCTTCCCGAACGGTGTACGAATGCAAACGAAACGCTGACCGAACGTTGTACGGACGCTGACCGAATGATGTACGAACGAAACCATGTACCATAAACCATACCATAAACGATAACATAAGCGCCCTTTTATCGTACATCGTATGGTTTTGCATACATCGTTTCGGTTAGCGTATACCGTATCGTTTAGCGTATATCGTTTCGTTTCGCGTATATCGTATCGTTTAGCGTACATCGTTTCTTGACGTGCATAGTTTCGTTTAGCGTACATGTTTTTCTTTAAATATAAAACATGAATTGTGTTCTGTTAAATCTTTTTATATAGGTGATAATAGGCGTAAAATTTAGATTGGATGCATATTTCAGTTTTAATTAATCATTTAGTAAATCATAATTTAATCTGACTCGATGTTGATCCAAAATTATTTACATAAAAAGTTTGAAAAATAAACACTGATATAAATTGAAACAAATTAAAAGATACGATTATGAATTTTGTTAGCCGTGGAAATACGTAGTTGGTGAATGTGCGCGTAAACTACAGTCTGTAGGGTATTCAGACAATTTTTGAAAATAGTCTAAGGTATTAACTAATCCAGTCGTTATATTACGATCACTACGATCACTCCGAGAAAAGTAGTGGATAGAGGGCGCTGAATTATTCGAGTTAGGTACTAACATTTTTTTTTTACCTAAATGAACAATTTATTTTAGATGGAATTTGGAATTAATCTAATGTTCTTACAAAAGTATATTCGGGAAGGGACTTTCTATACTTAGTATAGAAAGTCCCTGATTCGGGGTCTTAAGGTTGACCTATTGTTCAAAAGGTTCAATTATTTTTATGTATTCTCTTCTATCGCATGTATTTTAACATCGACTGAATAAAAGTATATATCGTAATTAAACCATTTTTTTTTTAGATTATAGATATGTTTTTTATTCATCTATCAAATCAGTCGAAAAAAAACAATTTATTCGAGAAATTTCAAATAGAAACAATTACCCGTTATGTGCCTCCAGGGACTTTCTATACTAACTTTATCAACCCTAAACATAAATCCCTACCAATGTACAAACGATTGTGTATTATTTTTACTACAAATGCACTTTAAACAATCATCAAAAAAGAGCGTGTCCGGCAAATGAAAAATTCTCATTCATAAGTGAAATTATAATTTAGCGTTTCATTTTTGTATTTTCAAACAACAAAAAACTAGACCATTTCCCTCTATTCTTTAATTTTCTAAGACCATTGTCCTCTATTCTTTATTTCGCCCGTTATATTCTATTCTTATTTTATATTTGATTGCTTTATTTTCCTGTATCTATATATATATATATATATATATATATATATACCTCCTTTATTCGGAGCAACCCCACCCTAAATATATGATACACAGTGTCT